TTAACAGCAAAAGTAGTATCATCACTAATTAATCATCTATTAATCAGTTAATTATTTTATTTTGTCCTTTTAATTTTTTTTACAAAAAAGAAATGTTATTGATATCTCATATTGATCCTAATACAATTACCAATAATACCTAAATCTGCACGCCGAATAATAATAATTATCATAAGGTGGCTAAATAATAAATAATTTACCCAAAGGCTCTTCTTAACGATAAAAATTGTAATTCATATTCATACCTGTTAAACTGCGGTGGAAAACTATTATAGAAAATATAAATAGCAATGTTCGGTTTCTGCAACGTCTACTAACAGTTTCGGACATTACAAATTTTTCCAACATTATCCAATTTTGGTTAGAATCACAAAATATTAAAATTTATCTTTGCAATTTATAAAAAAAAATGCAAATGTCCAAGATCAAAGGCAACGTTTGAAAAAATTAACTTTCACTGAATCCATTTTCAGCGCGGACTCCGTAACGCACGTGTAGAACACGGAGCAGACACATTCACATGTGCTGCTTGCTCTTCAAATGGTACTTTTACCTTCAATGGGCAATTACTATTATGCGTTATGGTTCTAAATCACGTCACGAACTGAAAATCACAAGATGACAAAAATCCTAAGCATTTTCCTTTTCTCTTTAACAACTCGTTTATTATTATCAAACAAAAGAAGTGGTGGAAATGGTTGACTTAAGTTACTACGTAAATTGCTTAAATAACATAAAAAACAACTCTATAAATGAAGAAGAGAAGGGAGAAGTAAATCTTTTTTATAGTTTATCTAAAACTTGTGAACCCCTACGTATAACTTCTGAACACTTGAATTTGTCCTAACTAGAAATTACTACAAATGGCCTGGTAAACGCCACCTGTAGTACGATGCTACATTTTAGGATTACGTATGCTCCAACAAGGTCCATTTAAATGTATGGATATCTACTTGCTAAAACGAATCCCGGCGTAGCTAACCTCAACGTGATAAGCACGTTACCATAATCGAATAAAATAATTCGAAGTGGTCTGTATTCTGTCGAAACTGCCAGACGCCGATCGCGATTTCGATCTTGTTGGATCTCATCAGCGCGTTGCAGACAGCTCCTTGTTGGAGCATACGTATTCCTAAAATGTATCGGGTTGTTCGGAAAGTCATTTCGTTTTTTCCCGACAGAGGATTTAATTGTATTCTTTTGCACCCAACTTCACATTTAAGCCGTATAATTTTTATATGCTTTGAGAGCTCATATAGCAAGGCTTGTGTGTGAAAAATTCCAATTAATTCTACGCAGTAGTTTTTGGTTGGTGCCCTTTTAAATATGGAGAGCGATAAGCAGCATTTTCGACATATCTTACTGTTTTACTACAGAAAGGGTAAAAATGCTGTTCAAGCCAGAAAGAAATTGACTGATGTGTATGGAGAAGGTGTGTTGACAGTACGCCAGTGCCAGAACTGGTTCGCTAAATTTCGATCCGGCAATTTTGATGTCGAAGATGCACCACGTTCGGGAAGGCCGGTTGAAGCTGATAAAGACGCGATAAAGGCATTAGTTGATGTGAACCGGCGAATAACAACACGTGAGATCGGATTGAGGTTAAATTTATCAAATTCAACAGTTTATGACCACTTGAAAGGCCTGGGATTATCCTCGAAGCTCGATGTATGGGTTCCCCAAACAACTATAAAATATTTATTTTAAATGGAAAATGTATTTCCATATTTAATATTTGATATTTCTATTCTCCTAACCCCCTTCCCCTCAATACTGGATTGGACAACTGCCCATTTGACCTTTGGTGTCATTCACCACTGCAATAAAAAAGATGTAATTGCGAAATTCACATGGTCAATTACCTAGATGAGCGTATACATACATACGTGTGTTAGAGTATAAATCCCATCAGAAGACTTACATCATGAAATTAATCATTTTGTGCAATAGTCAAGCAACGAAATATTTTAATTAATTATGGTTTTCTCAATCTCGCCGGCTGCATACATAAATATGTCTTACGATATTTAATTTAAAAGAAATATTGTTCAAGTCATAGTAACTTTCACCGAAACCACGTTAAATACGGTATGGATAAAAATAAAAAAAGTATCGCCAAGGGATACATTATTCATTTTTAATCCATACTAATCGCAAATTCTCCATTCAAACTAATGTAAAACATTTTTTTTTTAATCAACACAGTCTACTTCCCACCATGGCTTTTAATGTTACTTTTCATTTCGATATTAAAGTGAAGACCTGTTTGAATTTTATCATGATTTAAATATTTGTTGTTGTATATCGCACAATCCTGAATATTCATGAAGGACAGGGGTAGCAATTGCTTAATTCATCACTGCCTGCGCAAGAATATCAAAAGCGCCATACTGGATTCGGATGGTAAAAGTCCTTGCATATTTCAAAATGCTAGGCTCATACATACGTAACAATTAGGTATTTATGTAACGTGGAATTGTATTGAAAAATGAAGTGTAAGGTCGCGAGATTGGACTAATTCTCTTCGTCCAACACACTTTACAACAACATCTTAATTACACCAATCCCTACATCAAAAAAAAAACCACAATCCAAATTCACTAAAAGAGCTATCGATAACAACAACCCTACATCAACAAGAACCCTAAGCTACGCTCCTCAACGAATAGATTCCTCGGGTAATGATATATTGGGTTTTAAACAAAACCAGACGTTGGACCAGAAAAAGATAACAACGTGGAAAAAGATAAAATATGCTATTCCATAATAAGTGAAACGTTTGGAGTTAGCATTAAAATATTAAGAAATGGTAAGACACCAGGTATAGATGGGTATAGTAATTAATTCCAAAAGGAATGCTAATTTCTTTTATATGTACATTATGTAATTGTGTACTCTTGACCTCTTTGTTATTTTGCATATAAATTTAACAAGTTCGTTGTAGGTACATGACACAGGAGGTCACGGTAATTTAAACTAATTTGATAATTAAATTAACTTGAATTTCAAACTACAACCTCCATACTCTAATATCTTTCCATTACTTTTCTTATCGGTGTTACCACACCGAGGTACCGATGTACGTATGTTTTAAATAGGTTTTTATGTTATATTATAGTAAACTTAAGCAAAAGTGTATTGTTTTTGTATTGGAAAGGATAATCCACGGACGTTACCTCTACGAGCGTGGCCCATTATCCTTTAAAAATTCTGGTCGATAACGGTAAAACGTAAAATTTAAAACCATAAGCATTTAACTTCAATTATGCGCCGTTCTTATTTAATAATACAAAAATATCTTTTGCTTTTTACTTTTACTGTTTTGATTTTAGTNGTGGCGTTGCCGACTTCAAAATATCCAAATAAGACAAAAATTCTTATTTTCTTTGTTCATAAGTAATTTTCAAGCCAAGAATTGCCATTTTTGTTTGGATTTAGACATATTGTAGACTTTAGTTAAATACAAGCATGATATTTGAAGGAAATTACTACACATCGTAAAATTATTGAAATATTACTAATGTTATTCATTTTTCTTTATTAGTGTCCGCTGCAATTCCTACCTGACATCTCTTTTCTGTGCTTATGATATTCTGTACAACTGTCTTTAAAGCCCTTTAAAAATGCTGGCAACATTCTCATATTTTGCTTGTGTGTATCTCTTTCTGTTACACATTAATTTTCTTTATTAGTGTCCGCTGCAATTCATACCTGACATCTCTTTTCTATGTTTACGATATTCCCTACCTACAACGTCTATCGTGAGTAAATGTAGGCGTTCTTTCAGAAATAACTCTGGTCTAATTAGTAAGTAGAAAGAAGAAAGTAAATGAGACAGTTTTACTGCGAATTATGCCAATTTTGATCATCCCAACTACAGCACACTCAACTTAAGCTAAATTTGGAGTAGCTACGTCTGAGTGTAAACGCAAATTCGTGCTTACGATTTAATATTTCTACAGTTATAGCAATAATCGTACCACATAGCGGTTCATTGCGGTGACAAATCCAATAATAAGGGATAAAATATTCAGACCACATTGGACAATCAGCTGCCGAATAACACCAATCGTGATGCTGACAACACCTGATAAAAACAATCATGTTAATATAATTCTACTTCTACTAGTAATAATTAAGATTAAATAACTTCAAGTAAAGCAGCTTGCATGTAGGTGTATTATATATGTTAGTGATTTTGTCCTAAATTAGTGAAACAGTGAATTACTAGAAATAGCGTGGTAAACGTCATCTTTAGGGCATTTTGCTACCTTTAATGGAATTCAAAAATGTTTAGCAAGGTCCATAAGGATATAGACTTATCCTAACCTTACGTGGTAGGCACGTCACCATCCAGGACAAAAGTTCATGGTGGTCAAGTCACAGCATAAATAAATACAGCAGTGATATCTATCTGTAGTAAATTGCTACCTTTAGTGGATCTAATTCCGTACTACAGATGGCGTTTACCACTCTGTTTGTAATTAATTATAAAATGCATTTTAAAGCAGCAGATAGAGTGGGTGATGTGGTTCTGCATTTTGTTGAAATTGTTTATACGACGTGTTGAGGAAAAATTCAAACTATTTGAGTGGTGAAAAGCTTTTAATTATGTAATAGCCAAGCTGACGTTTCGTTACGTTAAAAAATTTTGTCAACGCTGAAAAGGAAGATGATGATAACACAAAATGTTTTATTCCCCCATAAATTAATCACCTGTGCCAATAGACATACTGTTTAGTTTGCTTACTTATCTATTCCATCAACAGCAATTCCAGAGCCTAGAAATCCACAGTAACACCCGTATTTTTTATAAGTTAAGGGGTTGCATCCCGTCGCACAACTGATCATGTTGAACAAGCCAAATACACTTCGCTTTGGACGGGTATCGTTCTGATTTGAAATGTTTAAATCATTCAGAATTTCACTTTTGGATTTTTCAAATTTGAGTATCATTTCAGAAGCATTACTGTAAGTGAAAATTATACTGAGAATAGAAATTTTTTACACCACCCTACATTTAAAAAATTGAAAAATTAATTAACATATCCACTGAAGAGAAAAATTTCATTAGGCGGACTTGTTGTCATTTAAACAAAAAATTATATAATTACTCGCAGGAGACCCTTTATCCCTTTAGGAAGGTTTCTATTGTATGAAATGGTTCAGCAAAACCATATATCATACAAAAGAATCTTTTTTCTTTTATGCATGTCGTGGACATCCACCATTTGCTACTTATGTTCTTACAAATAAAAGTTCAATTTTATTGTAGGTACTGACTTACTAAGGTTGTGGCGATGCAATTTGAGATGGCTCAAATGGTTTGCCAGTTCTTGCAAGATACACATTGAAATTTTGCAAACGAGGTTTTTCAACGACAACTAGCGTTAGTAAAACTTTTTGTATTGTAGAAGGATTACTACTGTTACCGTATTTTGTAGCATCTGAAACAACAAAAACTTTATACACTAATGCCCACAAATATATGACAACTGTAGGTACAAATACATCCAGAAAGAATCTAAAAATCAGTATCAATAATTTTGATTGGTATTTCCCTCTTCATCATTTTGTATCGGATGGGTCTTGCTGTCGAATCTTGCTTGTCAAATAGATTTTAATTTAAAAATTTTAAAAGAGGAAAAATCACTCTATACACTGTCTTTCGAATCGGACTATTTTAGACTATTGCAGAAATAATTATAAGAGGTGTCTATGAGTAGTGATGGGTTGTATTCTCGCCTGGAGCATCAAAATTGACTAATATTGCATCAGAAGTAGTAGTTAAGAGGAGTAGAGGTGGACCTAGATTATTAGACTACTGTTTACAAATAGTTAAGGATTTAGAATATTCCAGTTTAAGGAATAACGAAGATTAGCTCAGGATAGGGAAAATGGAAGTGCGTCTCCAACTAAAAAGATGATGATCC